ATTTTATGACCCGAGTTCGATTCCTCCGCCCCTCTCGGAGAGCCCGGCAAGCTACCGAGAGTATTTGATATGCCAAACACAGTAACAACAAAGTCTCCAATGGAGACGTTACTGGGCCCGCTCGAGCAAATCGACGATCAACGGAAGGGCCTTTACCTTTACTATTTTTTAATAGCTATTTTATATACTTAGAGGCCTAGGGTCACAAAAAAATTTCTGGGGTAAAAATGGGTCATGAGTAAAAAGAATATAGGAAGCCCTGGGCTAGGTCACTGCATCATTCCTGCAGATCCTGTTCTGTGTCTTAGAAATACATTAGTAAGTTACTCAAACAAGTGACATGGGTGCCTAAAGCACGAGCAAAGCCAAATGTGTACATTCTTTAAAGTATGAGTTTGTTCATTGGTTTTGGAACCACACCTGGTGGTACTCAGGACTTACTCCTGGCTCTGTGCTCCTGGTGAGAATGGGATTATACAGGGTATCAGGGATTGAACCCAGGTCAGCTGTGTGCAACTCTAGTGCCCTATCAGCTGTACTAATGCTGTGGCCCCTAAAGCATGAGATTAATAAGTTTAGATCTTGTCTATAATTTTAGGAGAATGATTATCAGGAAGTAGAAGTCACCCGAAGCACTGAATGTGCATATTTTAGAAGGGCCCTCTGGCTTGCACAATTTCAAGAAAGAGATGGAGAAAATTGCATTTATTGACTGCCATAATGGGCTTCCCCAGTTGAGCGAAAGCCTGTAGATGTGCTGCTCAACCAGACTGTGTCATTTTTTTAAATTTTTAGATTTTTTTTTTCTCTTTGGGTCACACCTGGCAGTGCTCAGGGTTTACTCCTGGTGGTGCTCAGGGGACCATATGGAATGCTGGGAATCAAACTCGGGTTAGCCCATGCAAGGAAAATGCCCTACCCACTGTGCTATCGCTCCAGACCCCCAGACTGTGTTATTTTAATGGGATGGATTTTGATGGGTCTTTCAGGTGCATCTGAAGACCTTGCCAAAGGAACAAACAGTAGAGGTGTCTTGACTCCTGTTCACAGATTCAAATTTTAGCTCCCTTGGCCTGAGCCTGCATGGCGGTTCATTGAATTTCGTGCATTCAGGATCTGATGTGGAGGAAGGGAGTTGGTGTAGAGGATGGAGCAGTTTGACTTGTCATTGACCACAGGAGTTTTTTAAATTGGACAGTTGTAATATTTTAAAGCATAGGTTCCATTTATATCTTGTTTCGTCTCTGGCATCAACTGCTATCATACTAGGTTAGGAATAAGAACTGGGTGGTGGATGGAAAGTGGGGAGTGGGGGTGTGGAGTGGGTTTGGCTCAATGACAAAAACCCCGGCCCTGAGTCCAATCTCCACTGCTGTCTGCATGTGCCAAGCAAGGTCTGGCCACTGCACTGTGTGCCCTCCACCTTCCCCTGACCACGTCCATCTCTGCCACTCCATGTTTGCCATGCTGTAGCTGAGTGTGTGTGTGAGTATTGCAGCTGATATACAGCACCTCTGCTGAGCATCGTGACTGAAATATGTGTTTGTACTTAGGCCAGAAGTTGTTTTTTGTTTGCTTTGTTTGTTTTGTTTTTGTTTGGGAGTCACATGTGGCAGTGCTCAGAGATCATTCCTGGTGGGCTCTGGACACCAACATGGGATGCTGGGATGGAGCCCAGATTGGCCTTATGCATGGCCAGTGCCTTACCCACTGCCCTATCTCTCTGGCCCCAGATGTTCAGCTTCTGAGGAACACAACTCTGGTAAAAGCACAGAGAAAAAGCAGATACTTATCTGGAAAAAGAACAGCTGGGTTTTAACTAGCTTACTGATTATTTTCCACCTAATTTATTTATTTTTTATTTTCCACCTGATTTATTTTTTTCTTAGAGGGTGGAGGTGGAGGGGGGTAATATGCAAGGGAGGTGCCTTAATCCACTACTGTATGATCTCTCCAGCTCAATTATTTATATGTTTATTTGGGGGAGAATGTTTGGGAACCAGACCCATCGGTGTTCACAGAACCATATGTGGGGACAAGGCTTAACCTGGGGTTAGTGGAATAATGGCCAGTACCCTTCACCCCATTATATCTCTCCAGCCAAATTATTTTTAAACAAAGGGAAAATATTAATAGATGACTCGTCACAAGCTACTTCGCCCTTTTTTTTAAAGTATTAAACAATAACCAAGTATACTTTTTCAGTAAAAGGATAATCTTTTTGATAATGGTAAGATGATCTATAACGTTTTTAATTCTATAAGTAGGCATTACTTGAATGTCCAGGAAGTCTGGAAATCTTACTTTTCCATGTGCTGGAAAAGTACAAGTTTATATGGCCTATTGAATGCTATAAATATTCAGGCCAGTTCAGTGTTGCAATATGCTATACTATCCTATTGTCATATAACCAAGGGCCAAGTATAAATCTATTGCTAGGAAAATATTTAGGTGGAAAATAATCAGATGAGAATTGTCTTAAATCCATGACAAATATGATTTTTCTATTTATTTTTTGTTTTGTTTTGTTCATTTTGGGGGGGCCATGTTTGGTAGTGTTCAGGGACTATTTCTGGCTCAGTGTTCACGGATCAACCAAGGGACCACATGCAGTTCTGGGGATTAAATCAGAGTTTACCACGTGGGAAGAAAGAGTCTTAATCCCTCTAGTATCTCTCTTGTCCTGTTTATAAAGCTGATTCTTTTAGATTTTTTCTTCCTATTTGTTTGAAACCTAAGTAGAGCATAACAATAGTGAAGCCAGTGCTTGTGTTCTACTTGGACTAAGATCTAGAATTTTGCTATTCCCTGTCAAGAGCCTTTTTTTGCCATTCCCCTTCCCCAATCCTTTAGGTTTCTTTTTGTTTTTGTTTTTGGATCACACCCGGTGGTACTCAGGTGCTACTTCTGGCTCTGTGCTCAGGAATCACTCCTGGGGGATCATATGGGATGTCAGGGATCCAACTCAGGTTGGCTGCGTGCAAGACAAATGCTCTACCTGCTGTACTCCGGGCCTCCAGCACTCATTGTTATGCTTCTCCTTGTGCACACCTGTGCATGTGTGTGTGTGTGTGTGTAGTGTATGTAGAAACTGTATTCTATATTCTAGATGCATATACTTAAAGCTACCTATGTATGTATCTGTGATTGTTAAAGTTTAATTCTGCTTGCTTTGTAAATATTGAGTTCTTAGTTCTTTTTGTCCTAACCTCAGGTTTATCAGATTTGTCCATATAAGAATTTATAGTGTAGTTTGTCATTATATTGACATAATGCAAACATTTAGGTATTTTATAGTTTGTGAACATTGGCTTTTACTCATATCACTACTGTTTATTCCTGTCTGGGCGTTATGAAACTCATATATACACCAGCAGGAGTTTCTGCAAATGTGGTCCTTTTGATCCATAGCCTCAGTGTAAAACCGGTTAGAAACACAGATTCTTGGATCCTGCTTCTTGGAGCTCTGCTTTCAGTCACCAGATTGAGGTCTGTACTACAGACTTATCTCAGTGACTTTGCATAAAAGGATGTTTAATCTTTTAAACTGGAACTGCTCTGGGAACCTATTCCCAATAACACATACATATATATGCTAAATGCACGTGCTCGCTCTGCCCTGGACTCATTACCCATTTTTGAGACCACTTCGTTTTTCCCAGTTTGGGCCAAGTGTTTGCTAGTTGCCCATACTGGAGATCTTTAAGAGAATATGCAAGAGACTAAAGGCCAGCTAGGAGAACCTAAGTAGGATCTCTGCTTGGGCAGAGAACTCTTCTGAGAACCAAAGTTGCAGAGTCCCACAGAGAAAAGAATAGACAAGAGGTCACGCCATGCATTTCACCCACCCCACCATAGTATCTTATGCCCCTGTGGTTCTCTGAATTTCATCTTATTCCTCTGTCAAGAGAGGGTGGTAAAACCCACTGTCAGTTAAAAACCAGGAGAGGGTTCAACAGGACCCGGAAGCGGAGATCCTTTGCTCATTTTCCCCAGTCTCTGGCGACCCAGGGGTAATGCCCATAAGCCACCTCCTGCCAGCAGCAGATAATCCCATCATTGGCCACCCTCCAGATCACATGTCTGCTTCTCCTGGAAAGGAGCATAACATGAGGCCCCCAAAACCATGCCACCGAACTCTGTGCCAGTCTGTTTTCACTGGCTGTGCCAGGCTGTTTTCACCACCCAGAGGGGAGTGGGTGAGAGCCCTCCTTGTCCCAAGGGACCCAGCCCCGGCAGCCAACCTCCACAACCCAACTGTTGCCACACTCAAGTCTGCTCGCTACATGCTCGGGCTGAACCTTACATATGAGTGAACATATTCCTGGACCTCACATATGAGTAAACATATTCCTAGACCATGCGGGCGCATATCATAAGACACACCCTACCCATTCTTCATAATTACCACACCATATTTGATGGAGTTCAGACAGGAGGCAACAAATCATAGAGGGAAATATATATATATATGCATATATACATATTTTCAGATATATATATATATATATATATATTCCAAAGCTCACATCAACCAAACTTAAACAACATGTTAGTGATATCCTATAGAATGTCTTAATGGCTCCTGCCAAAATAGAACAATCTTCACATGGTTTCCTGTATGAGCACTTTTTTGTAAGCATGTTCAGTAGTTGTTCATAACAGATAATACAAAATATATTCTTTCAGTTGTGTTTTGGGACAGGGCTTGGGGCTTGGGATGGAAACATCCCGAATTTGGTAGTGGGAAGTATAATGGTAGTGGGATTGGCGTTTGAATATTAAATGTAATCAAATATTGTGAACTAACTTATAAAATAAAAAACACTAAAAAAAGAAAACCATGAAAGTGGTCTGCTAATGTGCAGGACTATACTGACTCTCTGGACATGTCCCAGCTTGGCACAGCTGCACTCGTGTGCGTGTGGCTGGGTCAACCGTGTCTTTTGCCTTCAGAGTGTTCATGTTTTTTTAACACTTTTCCTCTGTGTCTCTGGCAGGAACGGTTCCAGGTGAAGAATCCTCCCCATACCTACATTCAAAAGCTGAAGGGCTACCTGGATCCAGCTGTCACCAGGAAGGTAATATAGGTTTGTTTCCTTCCACCTTTTGTGGCAAATCTTCTTGCACTGGAGGAGGCCTTCCTTCCTCTGCCAGCACCTCCTGGAAAACAACCTTTGGAGACATTACAAGACAAAGGAAAAAGCCATCCTGGCTGGAGGAGTCCTTACAAGCACTTTGCACAAGTGGGAGGCACCTCCCTGGGAGGGTTTATTGAGTGCCTGTCACTTCCAATCATACCGGGCCGAGTCCCGTCCAGAGGTGGCCAGCCAGTGGAAAGACAGATTCACAAAGGGAATACTTGTCTTTCATGCCTTGATGCATTTCCAGAGACCTTGAGAAATCAGTAGGGCTTTGTCATCCCAGCTGTGCACTCACATCCTGTGTTGGTGCTTTTAGCAGCCTTCCGCACCCTAACCCTGCTCTGGCCCCTGCAAGGTAAGGAAAGACCAGCCAATGCCTTGTCTCCTTTTGCAAACAAGCCCTGCTTTGTGTGGCCGTAACAGTTGGTTTAAACTGATGCCTTGCAGGAAAGCGTTCAGCCTGGCACAGCCCCGTGGGCCTGAATGGTCCTGGGATTTCAGGCAGAGTTGTCCCTGCTTGAGGGGGTAAATGGTTCTTTGCCAGATGGCATTTGTGTTTCCGTTGACCCGCCACAACCCTGCTTTGAAGGGTGCCGCAAAAATATCTTCATGGAATTCCAAATTCCCGTGCTTCAATAGGTCAAACAAAGAAAAAAGACACACTTATTCCTAATTAGGCATGATTTCCAGGAGGACTCCAGGGTCTTGTATTTTCCTCCCAATTGTCTTTTTTTTTTCTTTTACTTTCATTTTAAAACGCCTGCTCACTTCCACAATTGCCACAGATCAAGCAATAGAGCAGCATTTGCTTGCTTCGGGGGTGTTTGCTTGCCCTTTTCTTACCCTGTGCTTAATTTGCAAACAAGTTGAAATAAAGTTTGGCAGTGGTCATGAAAATGAACCCTGCATTGTGGAAGCAGTATGTGTGTGATTCAGATGCTGTACAACCTTGTCTCTTGAGGATGTGCTTCACAGTACCATGGTATCTGCCCCCCAGATAGTCACAGGCATTTCCTTTTAAAATCATCTTTTGGGGTGGGGGGAGAGGGCAGAGAAAGAGTATAGTGTGTAAGGCACTTGCCTGGCACCTAGCTGACCTGGGTTCTACACCTGACACTCCATGTGGTCTCCCAGTGCACTCAGTGACCGTCAGGTAGAGCCAGGAATAAGCCCTGAATACTGTTGGTTGTGGCCCCAAACCCAAAATAAGTAAAAAAAGATAAAATGAAAATAGAAAAGTCTTCTGGGGCTGGAGAGATTGTACAGTGTGGAGGGTTCTTGCTTTGCTCACGGTCTACCTGGGTTTAATCCCAGGCACAGTGCCAGGAGTGGTCCCAGAACACAAAGCCAGGAGTAAACACTGAGCACCACTGTGGCCCCCACGTCACCCCCCCAAAAAGTTAAAAGGTCTTTTTTCAGGGGCCAGAAAGATTGTACAGTGGATAGGTAGCCTGCCTTGCACATACCCAACCCAGGTTCGATCCCCAGTACCATATATGATCCCCCGAGCTCTGCCAGCAATGATTCTTGAGTGCAGAGCCAGGAGCAAGCTCTAAGCTGGGTGTGACCCCCTCCTCCCAAAACAAAACAAAACCAAAGAAATCTTTTGTCCAGCCCCTCATTTTGACAGTTGGGCCATGTTTGTTCGTTTCTTGTTTGTCTAGTTGCTCAGGAACTTAGCTGATTTGATTTTATCGTAATCTGATGATTATGCATTACCAAAAACCACACTGCACACAGGTGTGCTTCTGAGCCTAATTTTTGCCCATGGGCCTGCAAGATTGTTTTACAAATTATTCAGAAACCCCCTACCTACAGCCATTTAAATTGGATGGTTCAGACCATCAGCAAGAAGCACACTCTGTCCAGAAAGAGTCTAACATAAAAGCTGTGGTGTTTTCACAAGCTGGAGGGCTTCCCTCACACAGAGCATGATTTCTCCAAACAATTTGCTCTGTAAGAAGGAAGAGGAGCCCGAGCAATAGTAGAGGGTGTAAGGCCCTTGCCTTGCACACAACCTACCCAGGTTGGATCCCCTGTATCCCATACAATCTCTGAGCACCACCAAGAGTGATTCTTGAATCCAGATCCAGGAGAAACCCAGAGAATTTCTGTTGGTGTTCCCAGAACCAAAAAAGAAAGAAAAAGAGAGGGAAAAAAAAAAGAAATGACATGAATGCACAGAGAGCAATCTTTCTTTCTTTCTTTCTTTCTTTCTTTCTTTCTTTCTTTCTTTTTTCTTTCTTTCTTCTTTCTTTCTTTCTTTCTTTCTTTCTTTCTTTCTTTCTTTCTTTCTTTCTTTCTTTCTTTCTTTCGAGGCACCGTGCGATATAGTTACAATGCTTTCATGTTTGAGTTTCAGTCATATAATGATCAAACACCCATCCCTCCACCAGTGCACATTCTCCATCACCAATGTCCCTCTCCCCCACTCCCACCCCCACTTCCCAACCCTCCCTCGGCCTCTATGGCAGACAGTTTCCCCCATACTTTCTCTCCACTTTGGGGTATTATGGTTTGCAATACAGATACCAAGAGGCTATCACATTTGGTCTTTTATCTACTTTCAGCACACATCTCCCATCCCGAGCTGTCCCTCCTACCCCCACAGCTGCCATGGCCATGGCCAGAAAGTGCCGGATTCCAACATCCTTCCAACTCTAGGGGTCCCTGCCATTTCTTCAGCCTTACATGAAAAGAGGGGTGGAGTGCCCTTTTTTTATCATTGCACTGGGGACACTTATTTCATCTGTTTCATTATAACTGAGAATGACTTTAGGTACTTCCAAAGGGGCAGTCGGGGCAAGACTGGGGAATGGTTTGCCTCCATGGGGCCTTGGAAGAAGTTTGGGGAGGAGCAAAGGGTCTTCTGCAGAGAAGGTGAGGGAGCTGTCTCAAGTGGGTGACCTAGGGGTGGCCTTTGGTCCCAGCTGAGCCACACCATATCTCTCCCAGTCACACATTCTGGTATCTTCCTTTTGAGTCTTCCTCCTTGAATTCCTGTTCATTGTTTTTCTTTTTCTTTTTTGTTTTGTTTTGTTTTTGGTCACACCCCGGGGTGCTCGGGGGCTACTTCTAGCCCAGGATTCAGCAGGCCACATGGTACCTGGATTTCACATAGTCCTCCCTCGTGTAGAGCATCTGCTCTGGCCCTTTGAGCCATCTCCAAGGCCCAGGTTCCTGTTTAGTTTTTGTTGAACACCCAGTTTCCACTGCATTGTTGATAGCAGACGAGCAGTCATATCATCCTGGGCCAAAATTCTCCAAAGGTTTTTCTGGAAACCGTGCAGCTTGAATGTGGTTTGGGTGTGTAGCACCGAATACTGAGAACTCTTCTTGGGGTTTATATCAGCTCTCCATTCAGGGGGGGCTTCAGTATTTGATCCCTGTGAATCAGGATTTCTGCAGGAAGGTGTGGTCCAAAGCAGCCATGTAACCCAGTGACATCTTGGATATTAGTTAGGAGTGGATGGAGAGATGAGCATCATGACGGGAAGGAGTCATGAACAGAGATAGACCCGGGGAGTTCAGGAAGGATTAGTGGAATTTTTGAGAGGCTGGGGAATGTGGAAGCACATTCCCAAAGTCAGGCGAAAGTGTTCCAGATGAGAAACCTTCCATATCAGGGTTCTGGGGCGGAAGTAACCTTGATTGATTACTTTCAGAAAATGTTAGATTATGTAGAATAGAGTTGACATCACTAGCCCAAGACTGCTGCCTTAGAAAGGAGTGCTTATGAGATTTCCTGGAATTTCCTGATAAGAGTGACTTACTGGGGGCCTGGAGAGAGACAGTACAGCAGGTAGGGAACTGATCTTACATGTGGCCAACTTGGATTCAACTTGAACATCATGTATGGTCCCCCGAGCACTACCAAGAGTGAACCCTGAGCTCAAAGCAATTCCTGAGCTCCGCTGAGTGTGTCCTCTCCCCTACTCCCACCCCTTTCTGCCTGATAATAAAAGAATCACTCACTGAGACCACAAAGCTAGGATAGGGCATTCTGTGCCTTGCATGCCTCCGACCCTCGTTCGATCTCTGGCACAAACTATGGCCCCTGAGCTCTGCCTGGAATGACTCCCAGCACAGAGTCAAGAGTAGCCCCTGAGTCACTGATTGGTATGACCCCCAAACTCTTTCCTCCTCACAAAAAAATAAAATAAAATAAAAACCAAGAATGACTCACTGTGCCTACAGAGTTGATGTCAGCAATATGGCATATGTTGACTGCCCATTTCTTTCTTGTGTCTGGATTCTGGGGATGTGTCATGTGGAGGGCTGGAGCCATAGCACAGCAGGTAGGGCGCTTGCCTTGCATGCAGCCAACCCGGCTGATCCAGGTTCGATTCCTCCGCCCCTCTTGGAGAGCCTGGCAAGCTTCCAAGAGTATCTCGCCCACACGGCAAAGCCTGGCAAGCTACCTGTGATGTGTTAGATATGCCAAACACAGTAACAACAAATCTCACAATGGAGACGTCACTAGGCCCACTCGAGCAAATCAATGAACAATGGGAGGACAGTACAGTGCAGACAGTGCCATGTGAACAGTGCTGTGTCCAGACCCAGTATATACCTTGGTCTCTAATGAACTTTTCTGGAGGACATTTCAGGATTATCGTCATTTTTCCCTTCATGGGGAAATGGCACTTTGAAGTCTCGTTTCCTTTGGACTTTTTCCAGTTCTTCACTCTAGAGATGGTTCTTGTGACCTTTCTTTGTATTAATTTAATAGCTTTCAGGGGGCTGGAGCAATAGCACAGTGGGTGGAGCATTTGCCTTGCACACGGCTGACCCAGGTTCGATTCCCAGCATCCCATATGGTCCCCTGAGCACCACCAGGTGTAATTCCTAAGTGCAGAGCCAGGAGTAACCCCTGTGCATTGCCAGGTGTGAACCCAAAGGAAAATAATAATAATAATAATAATAATAATAATAATAGCTGTGAGGACAATTGCAGAACTAGTCTCATTCGCCATTAAAACTGGGGTGGCCTTGGACCTGGGTATGTATGTTGGTGACTATTGTTGTGGAAATGGGGGTGCAGTAGTCTGCATACTCAAAAATAGGACATGAAATAAGATATATGCCCTTCCTCATTAACTTTTTTAGGATGAGAAAAATGTGTGTTATTTTGCAAAAAGAAAAGTCGGAGAAACCCACTTTCGAAGCAGGGTTGATTTCATATTTTGCTCAGCTTTTTACAGGGAAATTGTAGTTCTATCAGTTGCAAAAATATGTTTTGTAAGAATGTTTGTTCTTGAATTGCAGAAATTCAGGCGGCGAGTTCAGGAATCCACACAAGTGCTAAGAGAACTGGAAATTTCTTTACGAACCAACCATATTGGGTAAGTGTGCCCAGTTAATATTTGAGCTCTAAGACTTTTGGACAATTTACAAAGGAACTGAATCATGTCCAATGAACTAATTGTTCATTATAAGTTTGTATTGTTCATTATAAGTTAAGAGGCTTCAGTTTAGAGGGGTGGAGCTTCTGTGAATAGTTGGATTGGTCGCTGTACAAAAATTAGTTGGAGCTGGACACAGGGTCTTTGAGTTGGAATATTAATAACAGTCGTAAATTTTGTTTCACATGTATGCAGTGATAGATGCTTGGTCTATTATTGTGTGCATAACAATTTTCTGGCAAATCAGAACCTCCAGCAAGTCGATGTACTCAGATGTTTTGAAACCTTTCTAAGACTTCACTCGGTTTCCCAGAGTTGGTTTGTAGAATTGGCTTCATTTTCTGTACCTCAGTTCCCTCCCATATGTCCAGAAGGAATCAGAAGCTGGGGTGATGTCTCCTGCCCACCCTCATTGCACTTTCTTGGTTTATCTCCAAGACAAAATGATATCATGTCTACTGAAAATGCCTCATAAAATTGTACAAGTTATGGAACCCCGGGAGTTTTCAACAATAAGACTAATATAGAGTTACTTAGGATTTTTCCCTGTGTCATTCTTTGCTGATCTATTGAATATGAAGGTTAACGTGTATTATATCATCTTACAGAGTATCTTGTAAAATCAAAGTGTTAGAGAAATAAAGTTTACATCTACTTTAGACTGTATTTGTATAACTATTCAAATAGTTTAATTTCCACATTTATTTCAGTGAGCTTTTTTAAGTTGCAGAAATACAGAGATTGCTTTATAAGTGGTGGAGTTAGACTGACAATTAATCCTAAAGGATAATCTGATTTGTTTATCCTCTTGAGAGTGAAGCACTTGGAAATTGAACTTATTCTAACCTTTGTTCCAGAAAATGGATTACAGAACAATGAATCACATAATCCTGATTTTTAGAATCAGTGGAGAAATTATATGCCTTAGTCTCTTATTTTGCAGAACCAGAGGAGGTGATTCACGCCAAAGCTGCAGGACCAGGTGCTTTGGTTAAAAATACTGTGTCCTTTTTCTTCTTTAACTGGCAGCTTGTTCTTTGAAAGGAAATAAGATAATCAGAGCTCTGCGATCAAAGCAATAAGGCTTGTCTATTGGGGCTGAAAGTGGTAGTGATTTAATACATTTGGGCAGCCAAACTCATGAAATTCTAATACTTTCCAGTATTTGTGGATCCAGAACTAGGTTCTCTTGGTAAGGCCTAACCCTATACCATTGGCACAGCTTCTAGACTGAAAATGATGAAATGAACTGCAGCCAAAATTTGTGCAAATGGTCTAAAACCATTTTTCAAGCATTGCTGAAGTAATGTGAAATTGACCATCAAATACCAAAGCAAGGTAATTTCCAATATAGACTTGACTATGAATGAAGAGCCCTTGTTGGATTGAGGCCAGTGCAAATATGGCAAGCAATTGGACTCATTTGTTATTTTAGATACTATAGGAATTTTGAAAGAGTTCTTTCATCCTCACCAGCTATAGTTTTCACTTCCCTCCAACTTATGTGAGACATACTCCAAAAGTTTGACTTTAGCAGCCAGAAAATTCATGGACATGGATGCTTATTGACAGGCTGTGTGCAATCAGTTTTGCTGCAGCCACATATAGGGAACAAAACCACACACTAGAAAATGACCCGTGTTTCCTCTCCTGGAAACCCAAACCCAAAAGGGACTCTTCATTGTGAATATTAACTTATTTGGCCTCATTGGATTGGGAAGTTATCAGAAGAATTACTCAGATTACTCAATGATGGGGACTGGAATGACTATACAGTGGGAGGGAGCTTGCCTGGCCAATCTGGGTCTCTCTCGCTCTCTCTTTCTCTCTCTCTCTCTCTCACACACACACACACACACACACACATATGCACACACACATATATATACATATACATATATATTATTCAACAAAGTGAAGAAAATCATCATAATGAAAAATCATTTGAATCACAGTTGCCATATAAGGGATCCAGAAATTTAATGCTTTCTTTGATGTACCATACAAAAAGCAACTAACTTGATTCTCCTTTATCTTATGGGAAGAGAGAGCTTGGTTCTGATTTTTGCCATTTTAGTTATTTGAACTGAAATGAACTGCCTAAACCTTCTGTACTTACTTACCATATGGTCTAATTTGACTATCATCTATAAAATGATGATAAATAATATTTATGCCATAGGAGTCAGTGAGATAACTGATGCTCAATATTAAGTCTGAATTCATAGTAAATATTCAATATATGGTAGCCATTTTTGTTACACTTGTTGAAACAGTGTTGTATTTAGGTAATTTATGAATGTTATGTAAAACAACCTTAAAGAATTTTCTGGAGAGAATGTCACCTTCTCTTTTTAAAATGACTCTGATACCTTGAGGATTGTGATCCCAAAAATTGAAAGGAGGAGGGCTAAATGATAGTACAGTGGGTCAGGTGCTTGCCTTGCACATGGCCATCTGGGTTTAATTCCCAGTATCCCATATGGTCCCCTGAGCCAGCCAGGAGTGATTCTTGAGTGCAGAGTCAGGAGTAAGCCCTGAGCATTGCCACGTGTTGTCCCAAACCAAAACTAACCAACAAAAAATTGAAAGGAGAAATTACATTCAAAATCCAATTATTCTGGAGGGGGAAAAAATCTATTTCTGGCATGTGGCTGTGCTTCAAGGTGAAAATCTAGAACTTTGAAGCCTGAGTGATAGTACAGCCGATAGGGCACCTACCTTGCACAGTCTACGTAAGTTCAGTCTCCAGCATACCATATGGTTCTCAGAGCATTGCTAAGAATAATTCCTGAGTACAGAGCCAGGAATAATCCCTGAGCATCACTAGGTGTTAGTCCCTCTACCCCCCCCCCCAAAAAAAAACAACCCTCCCCCAAAATTCTAAGATTTTGCTGAGATTACTTTTCCAAAGAGAGGGTTCCTAGAGATAGTACAGCAGGTGAGACCTTGCCTTGGATGCGGCAAACTCAGGTTTGATCCCCGGCACCACCTATGGTCTCCTTGAGCCTGCCAGGAGTGATATCTGAATGCAGAGCCAGGGGTAAGTCCTGGGCACAGCTGCGTGTGGTCACCCAAAACAAACAAAAATAAACGTTCCCAGAGATAGCTTCTTAAGAATTTGTGCCAGGTTTTGTGCCAAGCCTGTAAATGTGGCCTGTTTTCTAAGAAAGAAAATTAATTTTCTTTGAGTCAAATTGAAATGACAGTTGGACTACAAGTAATCTAATTGCCTTACTCTTAATAACTATAATAATAGATTGATAATTATTGGATAATTACTTCTCCAAGTCCTTGAAATGATTTGAAATATTATCCTTGAAAAGAACTGGGGCTGGTGTGGTAGTACAGTGGGTAGGATGTTTACCTTCATGTGGCCGACCCAGGTTCGATCCCAGCATCCTATATGGTCCCCTGAGGAGTAATTCCTGAGTGCAGAGCCAGGAGTAAGCCCTGTGCATCATGGGTGTGACCCAAAAAGCCAAAAAAAAAAAAAAGAAAGAAAAAAAAAGAACCAAGTGCCTTTAGAGCACACTGAGTATGCAGTGTGAGCGGCTGCCTATCGCAATGTTCGCGTGCCAGGGTGATAAGATTGAAGTGGCTGAGATACTAGAACTAAAGAGATCTATGGGCTTTTTCTCCACAGCACTGTGATGCTAGCTCTTGCTCCTTGCAGTTAATTTATATGAATAAAGCTCCCTGTTATGGTTGAAGATTACTTTCCACCCTGTATGTGAGGTCAGAGTCCTGAAAGATGCTCAATTCATTATCTTTGAGAGCCGAGTGAGGGAGCCTGATGTCACAGGAGGAATGTGCCAAGTTGGCAACGTGGGGTTCGCAGAAGGGGAAGGAGCCAGTGAACAACTTCCCTCCTTTATGTTCTTTCTTATGTGGCAGTACGACCAGGTCCTGGAGAAAAAGTGAAAGAATATTATACTAAGGCTGGATTTCAGAAGTTCCTAGGGTGGTGTGTGCATGCCTTTGTTTGGGGACCATATTCTGTAGTGCACAAGGACTACTGCCAGCGTGATGTTTGGGGTTTGCTCTCGGCAGTTCTCAGAAGATTCTTCTCTTTACATGTAAAGATTGCGCTTAAGTCCATCGAGCCATCTCTCTGGTCTTACATGATAAAGTAAAATATTTATTTATTTACTTTTGCTTTTTTTGGGTTACACTCAGTGATGCACAGGGGTTACTCCTTGGAGAGCTATTCCTGCACTCAGAAATTACTCCTGGTGGTGCTCGGGGGAGCATATGGGATGCTGGGAATTGAACCTGGGTTGGCTGCGTGCAAGGCAGACACCCTACCTGCTTTGCTATTGCTCCAGCCCCAAAGTAAACTATTTAATAATATTGAATAAATGAAGATATCAATATAAAGCAAAACTATTGATAATCACCAGTCTCATCAAAATAGGCTTTTAAGTATGATCATTATGCCAAGCTTCTGATTCTTTTCTTAGATATCTCAAACTTTATAGTTTGCAGGCAACACTGTCAGTTGCTTATCTTGAAATAACAGTCTCCCTTTATTCACTTCTGAAAAAGAACTTGCACAACCCCCTTTTTGTCAGTCACTTGTAGTCCTTGTGTAAACATGGCTGGTTCAGTTCACAGTTAAGTAGGTGCTTTTCTCAAGACAGTCGTGACACTCCGGTGAGCCGCAGAAGTGCTCTTGTGAGCACTTGGTCATATAGAAAAGAAAAAAGATTTTTAATCCCACATTGAAGATACTGCCCTCCAGATCCAAAGCACTGCAATAAAACGAGCCCCATGAACTTATGGGTTTCCTGGTACATATAAAAGTTCTGCTTCCACTATACTAGAGTCTCTTGAGTGAATAATGTCTCTTTAGTGAATACTAGAGACTCCTAAGTGAATGTCTAAAAAATACTGTATTGTGTACTGTGCTACAAGTAGGCAAAGGACCAAACATGATG